AGGGCCTCGTTAAGTTGCTGAGGCTGGCTTTGAACTCATGATCCTCCTATCCCAGCCTCCTGAGCCGCTGCGATTACAGGTGTGCGCCCCCACGCCCAGCCTGGTTTTATCCTTAACTTCCCATTGTAAGTAACTATAGAAATGAACAATGAAGCCAATGATTCTGACATGGAGCAAGTGCTGCACCAGGATCCCTGAGAAAAGGGTAGCACGGGAGGAGCCCCACACGCAGCCAGCTTCCTGCCTGAAAGGCCGCCAGCTCTGGGGCAGGTACACAGCCCAGGCACAGGGTTGCAATGTCAGAAAACCCAGGGACCTGAGGGAGGACACAGAGCAAAGAGAGGGACTCCTGAGGTGGCAGGAACCTGTAGGGTATGGAGCAGAGGTCATTGCAGGAAAGGGACCCCAGAACTCTGTGAAGGCATTCCCCTTGGGTCCCTGGCCACATCCTGAGCTGCCCATGTTCACAGGTTCAAGTGGAAAGAGCTGTCGAAGGGCCCACTGTTGAACCAAGACTTCAGAAGCTGAAGAGTAATGGAAGAGCTTAGAGTTAGAACTTGGAGTTAGACAGAGCTGAGAAACACCAGTCAGGTACTGGAGACCCTAGAAAGGCCTCTCTTTAGGAATAAGGACCCACCATGTCCTAGGAGTAAATGCTGTGTCCTAAGAATAAGGACAAAGCTGGGTACGGTGCTTCATGCCTGTAATCCCAGAGGCTGAGATAGGAGGATCAAAGCCAGCCTCAGCAATTTAGGGAGGCCCTAAGCAGTTAACTCAGTGAGATCCTGTCTCTAAATAAAATACAAATAAAGGCCTGGGGATGACGCTTAGGTTGAGTGCCCCTGAATTCAATCCCTGGTACCAAAAAAAAAAAAAAAAAGAATAAAGACAAAACTGAAGTCTTTAACAAAGACTACCACCAACCCTCACCAAGCGCAAGGTGACCCGTCAAAAATGCAACTGCCTACCAAATTAAAATTCAACATTCTTTAGAAAAAGATTAAAACATCCAGAGTCTCTGTGATGTATCAATCATAATACCAAGAATGTAATAAAAAAATACTACCCAATTTTTTTTTTCCTGTTCTTTTACTTTTGGCCTTTGTTCTGAGATGTGATTAAGTTACTTGGAAACAGTGCAGTTCTTTCGGGTTTTGTTTTTAAAGCTTTGTCAGAAGGACCAAGGCAGCATTTAGTCTAGGACTAACTTTGCCCCACTATTTTTTTTTTTAAGAGAGAGAGAGAGAGAGAGAATTTTAATATTTATTTTTTAGTTTTCGGCAGACACAACATCTTTGTTTGTATGTGGTGCTGAGGATCGAACCCGGGCCGCACGCATGCCAGGCGAGCGCACTACCGCTTGAGCCACATCCCCAGCCCTTTGCCCCACTATTTGAGACAACACTTTTCTGGGCACGTTGAGTACTCTGGCTGAATTGCAGAAAGAGAGACGGTTCTCAGTCCTAGAGAAGCTTCCAAGATTGCTCCCCTCATGTTTGGGGTTAGTTCTTTCTTGAGACTTGGATAAGTTTGCAGGCATCTCCTAGGATGTAGCTGAAGACGCAAGAAGATTCTCCCCAAAGCTCCAGAGTTCTCTCTCCTTCTCTGTGTATGTGAACTCTGACCACGCTGGCCTCCCCAGACAACCAGGGAAACTGCTGAGCTCCTCCTGGGTTCCCCTCTGGGTTCTGAGGTCTGGAATCTCTACAGGGGCAAGGCTGGGGCCATTGGGGGAGGCTCATCTTGTTGTTACCAGACATTGTGGTCCAATGCCCTCCACTTGGGTCCTGTTATTCTGTCTTCGCTCTGATATACAATGATAACTTCAAAAATGTAGAGGAAATGAAAAACAAACAATCCTTAAAGAACAACAAGATTTTCTGAAATTGATCCAAGAAGAAGTAGAAATAGGAATCATAAAAAAAAATTAAATCCAGGGCTGGGGGTGCAGCTCAGTGGGGTAGCTCTTGCCTAGCAGGCATGAGGCCCTGGGTTTGATCCCCAGCACCACACACACACAAATTGAATCTATACCTTCAAACTTTCCTTCAAAGAAAGCTACAGGTTTGTATTTCTTCAACTGGTGAATTCTATTAAAAGCTTAAAGGACAAATCATACCAACTTCACACAAATGTTTTCAGAGAGCAGAGGAAGATAAAACGATTCCCAATTCAACAGAGACTTGATATCAAAATCTGATAAGATCATTATGTAAGAAAAAAAATTTAAATCGAAATCACTTGTGGACACAGACATAAAAATTCTAAACGAATTGTTAGAAAATTAAATCTATCAATGTATCGAAAAATGCATCACGCTGAATGTGGTTTATTCTAGGAATGCTGATTTAGTAAAAAATCAATCAGTGTAATTTCATAATATTAACAGAATGAAGGAGAGTAGCCGTGTGATCCTCTCAATAGAGGTTGAAAAATTATATGTTGAAACTCAAAGTGATTCATGATAAAAAGAAAAAACTCTCAGCAAGCAAAGGGTAACATGCAACTTTTTCATACTAACAAATGACATTAATGAAAAATCTACAGTTAATATCATATCAACCCTGGCAAAAGACCAAACACTTTTCCTAAAGACTGGGAATAAAGCAAAGATATACAATTTTTTAGTTGTAGATGAACACGAGTCCTTTATTTTAATTTTTATGTATTTATTTTTATGTGCTGCTGAGGATTGAACCCAGTGCCTCACCATGTGCCAGGCAAATGCTCTACTACTAAGCCACAATCACAGCCCCAAGATATACATTTTTTTTAATCTAAATACCTTTATTTTATTTATTTATTTTTATGTGGTGCTGAGGATCGAACCAAGTGCCCCACACGTCTCGTGAGGCAGGTACTCTACCACTGGGCTACAGCCCAGTGCATTCTTAATACATCTGTTCAACATCATTCTTAATACATCTGTTCAACATCATTCTGGAGCTCCTAGACAGAATAATACAAAAAAAGAATAAAATATAAAAATATTGAAAGGGAAGAATAACACTGTCTTTATTTGCAGATAATATAATTTAATACATAGAAAATCAAAAGGAATCTACAAAGCACTACTAGCTAATGAAAGAACTTGCTAGGTAAAGTAAACATACAAAAATAAACTTTTTCTACATATTAGCAATGAATAACTAAAAATAAAATTTTAAAATAACATTTACAAAAATTAACTTTTGAGGGAAAATTGCTGGCAGGAATTTTTAAAATGGAAATATATACCATGTCCATTGACTGGAAGACTCAGTATTGTTAAGATGTCAATTTTTTAAATTTATTTTTTTAAGATTTTTTAAAAGATAGATGTAATATCCTTATTTATTTATTTATTTATTTTTATGTGGTTCTGAGGATTGAACCCAGTTCTGAAGATTTTTTTTTTTAAGAGAAAGAGAGAATTTTAATATTTATTTTTTAGTTTTCGGCGGAGACAACATCTTTGTTTGTATGTGGTGCTGAGGATCGAACCCGGGCTGCACGCATGCCAGGCAAGCACGCTACAGCTTGAGCCACATCCCCAGCCCCCAGTTCTGAGGATTGAACCCAGCACTCTACCACTGAGCTATAATCCCAGCGCCAAGACATCAATTTTTTTTTTTTTTTGCAAATTGATCTATAGATTCAGTGTAATACAAACTGATTATGCTAGCAGATTTTTTGTGTTGTAAAAGTTGGCATGCCCATTCTAATGTTTAAATGGAAATGGAAATGACCTAAAATAGTCAAAATGATTTTGAAAAACAACAAACAGAAAATTTACATTACCTGCCTTCATTTCTTACTAGGGCATTGACGTAAGGATACACATAAGAATCAATAGAAAAGGAATAATCTAGAAATAGATGAATGCACCACATAGCCTCAACTAGATATGAACAAAGTTTCAAAGGTAATTTTTCTTATTTTTTTTTTTAATGTGGTATCAGGGTTCAAAACCCAGGACCTTGAGCTTGCCAGACAAACGCTCTATCACTGAAGTATATCCTCTGTCCTCAAAGGTAATTTCATGGGGAAAAGATAATCTTTTCAACATGATATTCATACGTCTACTTAGTATGGCTACTTAGTGAGACCCTGTTTCAAAATCAAAATGAAAAAGGGATGGGGATGTAGCTCAGTGGTAGAGCACCCCTAGGTTCAATTACCAGTAAAACACACACACACACACACACATACACACACACACACACACACATTTCAACCTATACTTTAGTGCATATATAAGAACTAACTAAATGGAGTATAAGCCTAAACACAAAAACTAAAACTACAAAGCTGCTAGAATAAAACAGGCAAATATGACCTTGGGGTAAACTGGCAAGGATTTCTTTAAACACAAAAATTACTAACGCGAGAAAAGAAAATAAATAAATAGTATGTCATCAAAATAAAGACTTCTGATTTTCAAAATGCATGACTGAGAAAATGAAAAGATAATCACAGTCTACAAGAAAATCAATCTATCTGTCTATCTATCTATCTATCTATCATCTATCTATCTATCCCTTCTAGAGATTGAACCCAGGGGTGCTCTACCACTGAGCTACATCCCAGGCCCTTTTTATTTGATTTTTTTTTTTTAATTTGAGAAGGGTAACATTAGGTTACCTAAGCTGGCTTGGAACTTGTGATCTTCCTGCCTTAGCCCCCAGGGTAGTTGGGATTACAGGCATGTACCACCATGCCCAGCAAGGAAAATGCTTTTAGTGCATATGTTTGACAAATGATTCCCATCCTGAATACATGAAAACTCCTAAAAAAAAAAATAAGAAGAAAAAACAATGCAAAAATAAAAAACAAAAGACTACAAAAAGTATTTTTAAAAAAGATATCTGACTCTCCCCACTCTGCATGGTCACACTAAGTTTTGCCCGTGTGACTTTCGTACAGGGGAGAGAGAGAGGAAAGAGCCCCTCTGGACCTTGGATTGGCCTCACAGTAGCCTTTTCTTCCTTGAGGGGCACAACGGGAACTAGGTAGTGTGTATGGATGTTGTGGAGGATCACCAGCCACCTAACATAGTTTTTTCCCAGGCATTTGTAGCTATTGGGGACTACAGTGGTCACGGTGGACTGGGAGTAAAATGCTCCAAGGAGGAAGCAACTGGTATCCGAGGAGCCATCATCCTGGCCAAGCTCTCCATCGTTCCTGTGCGGAGAGGCTATTGGGGGAACAAGATTGGCAAGCCTCACACTGTCCCTTGCAAGGTGACAGGACGTTGTGGTTCTGTGCTGGTACGGCTCATCCCTGCCCCCAGAGGTACTGGCATTGTCTCAGCTCCTGTACCCAAGAAGCTACTGATGATGGCTGGTATTGATGACTGCTACACTTCTGCCAGGGGCTGCACTGCCACCTTGGGCAATTTTGCCAAGGCCACCTTTGATGCCATCTCCAAGACATACAGCTATTTGACCCCTGATCTCTGGAAAGAGACTGTGTTCACCAAGTCTCCTTATCAGGAATTCACTGACCATCTTGTGAAAACCTATACCAGAGCCTCTGTACAGAGGACCCAGGCCCCAGCTGTGGCTACCACATAGGGTTTTTATACAAAAATAATAATAAAGTGAATGAAACCCCCCCCCAAAAAAAAGATATCTGAACCTCTGGGAAAAAAGAAATAAAATATAAAATAATCATGAGAAAAGGTGCTCTGTTATTTATCATCAAGGAAATACAAATTAAAACCCAAAAATATACCATTATGCACACTAAGTGGCTAAAACTAATAAAGATGGAATATAACCAGTGTTGGCAAGAATCTAGAACAACTGGTACTCTTATATTTCCACTGTGAGTGTGAAATCATACCAGTGTTCAAGTACCATCTTGACAACTGTTTGGCAGTCTTTAATAAAGTTAAGCATGTACTCATAATATGTCATAGCAATTCAATTCCTAGGTGCATATCCAAGACACACGCGCGCACACACACACACACACACACACATACACACACACGTGAACACAAACATTTAATGGATAAAAACTGGAACAGCCCAAATGTCCATCACAGGGACTAGAACTAGATAAACAAACCGTCTATACACTTAGCAACTGTGTTAGTCTGCTCAGGCCGCCATGACAAAATACCACCCAGTTCTGGAGACAGGAAGTCCAAGATCAAGGTGTGGGGGAGGCAAACTCTTCAATGTCTCTTCTTATCAGGACCCCAATTCTATTTGATCAGAACCTGCCCTTAGGTCCTCATGTAATCTTAATTATTTCCGTAGGTGCCCTATCTCCAAGTACAGCCACACTGGGGTTAGTGTTTTATCATGAGTTTGGGGGGAACACAAGTATTCAATCCATAATAGCGACAAAAAAGGAAACTGCCATTACTTGCATGGCTCGATGCAAAAACATAAAAAAGACCCTATAATTTCAAAAATATGAAGTTTAAGAGTAGACAAATTGAGTCTGTGATGTTAAAAGGCAGTGTAGTGGTTGCTTTGGTGTGGGGGGAGGAATTGATGGGAAAGGATGAGGGAATGGTGCAAACATTTTTTCATCTTGATCAGGGTAACACTGGCGCAGGTGAAGACATTGGTCAAAATACATAGAACCTTAGCCTCAGAATTGGTGCATTTACTGCATATAAGTTATAGCTCAATAAAGTATCTTTTTCTCTATCAGTATATATGAAATTATCTCTCTCTTTTTAGCAGCTATGTCATCTTCCATAGTATGAATGTATCATAATTTATCAAACTGTTTATTTCCCCATGGATGGACTTTAGAATCCCTCCAAGATTTTGCTATTATAAGCAATGCCATCATGAACAACCTTGACAGATAGATTTCTAAGTGGGGTTGTTACAGATATTTCTCTGTAAAGGTAAAGAGTCTGAAGCCCAGAAGGAAGAAGAAATTTCCCAAGGCCTACTATAATTATGCACTGTGAGTCATGATGGTAGAATCTGGCGCTGAAGAGATTTGCATTATTATGGAGAAATACTGGTAAGGGGAGCCAGGCGTGGTGGCGCATGCCTGTAATCTCAGCTGCATGGGAGGCTGAGGCAGGAGGATGGCAAGTTCAAAGCCAGCCTCAGCAACAATGAGGAACTAAACAACTCAGTGAGACCCTGTCTCTAAATAAAATATAAAATAGGGCTGGAGATGTGGTTGAGTGTCCCTGAGTTCAATCCCCGGTACCAAAAAAAAAAAAAAAAAAACTGATAAGGGAAGATACTAGACTTCTAGCTGGAATTAATAATCTCACTTCCTTCTTTGTCTTAACTCTTATTCATTCTGTGAGCATAAAGGCTCTGTGGCTGCCTTAATTTAACATCATGCTATTCACATAGGATCCCAGAGTAACCTGTGTTTAACAACTCACTATGTGCTTGGCAGCATGATAGCACTTTATATGCATTATCTCATTAACCCTTATGACCTCCCAGGGCATAGCTATTATTCTTGTAGCCTCTCCCACTTATCCATGGGGGGATGTTCCAAGACACATGAAACTGCCTAATACCAAACCCTACATATACTGTTTTTTTCTTATACATATTCACATATAACAAGGCTTAATGTATAAATTAAGCATGGTAAGAGATTAACAACATCTCATAATAAATTGAACAATTATAACAATCTACTGAAATAAAAGTTTTATCCATGTGGCGTCTCTCTCCGCACAACTTACTTGCTCACGGGTTCTCTGGCTTAGTGTGTTAGTCAGTTGTTGGTCGCTGGGGCCAAAATATCTGACATGAACCACTGAGAGGAGAGAAGATTTATTTTGGCTCGTGATTTCAGAAGTTTCCGTCCACGGTTGGCTTGTCGCATTGCTCTGGGCCTGAGATAAGGCAGAACAGCATGGCGGAAGGGCGTGGCTCAGGGAAGGTTGCTCAGCTCCTGGCCACAGACAGGGAAGGAGAAAGAGAAGGTGGCGGAAATGACCAGGGACAAGAAATACCCTGCCAGGGCACACCCCCAGTGTCCTGCTTCCTCTAACGAGGACCCACCTCCCACAGCCTCTGTCACCTCCAAGTGGTCCATTCAGCGGTTAATGGGTCAATCCACTGGAGGGTGAGAGTCCTCATGATCCAATCCCTTCCCCGTAGCCCCACCTCTGAACATCGCTGTATGGAGGCCAAGCCTTTAACACAGGAGTCTGTGGGGGACACTTCATGCACAAACCTCAACACTCAGGCATCGTGAGGTAGCGTCCGGCCACCACCGAGCCTACTCGAACCAGCACGGTGACATGTGGACGACGGTTCTGAGAACCAGGATGACGGCTCAGTGACTAATGGGCAGGTATTGTGCACAGCGTGCATGTGCTGGACAAGGAGATGATTCACGTCCTGAGTGGGATGGAGTAGAGCAGAGTGAGATTTCATCACTCCTCTCAGATGGCTCATCGCTGGTAACTTATGGATTGTTTGTTTCTGGGATTTTCCATTTAATATTCTCAGGCTACCGTTGACCACGAGTAACTGAAAACACAGAAAGCTGAAACCACAGACGGGGGGTGGGGGGGTGGGGGACTGTAATTCCATGCCCGTTTTACAAAGGTAAAAACTGAAGCTTAGACCACTTGAGTAACTTATCCAAGGTTGCACAGCTCAAAGGTGGTGTAAACAGGTTTCCACCCAGGTCCTTGATACAAAAGGCCCTATTATGTTACATCCCCTCTCAAGAATAATAATGTTATTGTGAAGGTTTTACAAAATGGTCATGGGGCTGATTACTGGTCTCTTATTTCTGGAGAGTGGTTTCAGTGTCTTTAGTTCTATCTTCTTAACATCTGGCACATAGAGGGCTTAGCGCTGTGCCGGACGCATAGTAAGCACTCAAAGAGTGCTTATTATTATTATTATTGGAACTCAATAAGCATTTGTTGAATAAGTAAACATTTGCATGAATAACTAATTGCCTAAATTATTCTTTTAGCAAATAAAAAATCAACAGAGGGATAACAGGTTCCGATCTTCCTCTCCTGCCAAACACCTCATGTTGGGGGGGTGGCCGCTGAACCAGAAAGAATTGCCAGCCCTCTTCTGTTCACATGTCTGCTCCCTGAGGGACACAGAAACAAGAAGGGCATCTAATTCAAGCACAGTGTGTCCATGATCTGATTCTCCACACGTCTGTGCATGAAGGAAAGAATCAGGGCTGGGATGTAGCTCAGGGGTAGAGCTCTTGCCTACCATGAGTGAGGCCCTGGGTTCAAAATCTAGCACTAGAAAGAAAGCAAAGGAAAAGAAAAGAAAACCACTTGGGGTGCTGGTGGTGGTGCTGGTGGTGTGTGTGTATGTGCTCACACATTCATGTCTGTGCATTTTTGTGCACAGAACCCTGTGCACTGTCCCTTACGCTGTCTCACTCTGATGTCCAGCCACAACTAGGGTGAAGTCTTGGGGGGCTTATTACAAAGCTTTGGCAATATCACAGTGTGCAGAAAGGATGCACACAGGATCCCACAACATCCAAAGGCCCTTGAACTTCTACTGTATCTTCTTATTTTGTTGTGTGGTCTTCACTGGAGGAAGTGGCTGCAGTTTGGTGGTGAAAGGCTTAGACTGGCAATGGACCAGGCGAATGCTGCTTCTCTTGACCTACCCGGCAGGTGCCCCATGAGCAGCATTAGCCTCTGTCGCTTTATCAGTCAATCCCGACATCCACTCAACTACCCCAGGCTCTGATTCTTCAGTTGTCTGCCAGCTCCTGCATCCCCTGGTCTAGTGCTTTGATTGGCTTGTGTCCTGGGTAGGAAGACCCCCTGTCATCCTCAGTCCAAATGCCTTGTCCAGAGAAGATCCCCTTACAGGCTTGAGATTCGACTCTTTCAGCTCCTCTGCCTAAAGGCAGACCCGACCCACTTCTCAGCAGGGGTGGGGGGCTGCATGAACCAAGAGTCAGTTGACCAGGGCAGCACGTGCAGGGGCTTGCTGAGATCATGGGGGTTTTTTCCCTCCTTGCTGACTCCTGCCTCACCCAGTGCCGTTACCACAATCCTCATTCCGTGCCTCTAAAAGCCCTTCCTCTCATTTTGTAGTTATGTTTTCAGAGCCTTGCTCATTAGAGGCAATTTTGGTTTCTGTTTTTATGGTAATTTTTAAACTCTTAAGTGAAACTTGTTTGAAATGGCTGTCACTCTGTTATTACAGAAACAATATAACGAGAAATGCACTTTCATATAAGAGTCTATCTATGTTGCAACCGGGAAAGATAAATTGTTCTTGGACTTAAATGTATTTGAACTTGAAAAATATGAAGACAAAGAGATGAAAAAAAACAGATGATCTAATAGGTAAGGGGCGTTAGGGGGTCTAATGGATAAGAGTTTCTGGAAAAAAAAAAAAGAGAGAGGAAATTAGACAGATAATACAGGAGATTTTCTGAGAGGTCCTTGTGTTCGGACACAAGGCCTTGGAACAAGGCCCACACCTCATGTTAACACTGAAATCACAGGTCACCCAGGATAAAGGGAATACCCCCAAAAGCTTCCACTGAAGACCAGTTGCCTTATAAAGCAATAAGAATGAGAATGAGTCAGAGCTTTAAATAGGAAAATCAATATAGAGGGCAATAGATTAGTGCCT